AGTACGATGAGCAAAGGCTTTCAACCACGTTCTAGGAAAAAAATAATTCGGAAATAAGGATGTTCCTAATATGAACTGTCTAACATCCTCACATAAAATTATCACGAAATAATGTTCTAATGCCTAACTAACTAGTTTTTGAGAGGAAACATTGTTGGAACAATGTTGTAAAACATTGAACATTGAAGACAACAGTCTTCAGTGCCTAGAAAAACAATTAGGATTTCAGTATTTATTCTGGAAAAAGATCGGAAAAACCGGATTCTGTTAGGTACAAGCTATTATATTTACTTTCGTTCCAAACGATTTTGGTTTATGGAGTATTTGTTCAGAACGATTCATAAAAAAAATTGGTAAACTGTATTGGGAGTGGTACTTTTAATGCAATCAAAGAGAAAGTCTCGTGAGGAGGATTTAGAGCGATGGGAAAAAGAAAAGAACAAATGATTGAAGACATATTCAAGGGCCAAAAACAACGGTTGTTAGTAGTGTTCAGAGCATTGGATGGTTAGGACATGTGAAGTCCATTTGAAATCGTCGTCTTTACCACAAGTCACGAAATATTATATTACTGCTGAAGAAATGAGCTGAATCTCGAAAGTACAATGAGCAAAGGCTTTCAACCATGTTCTAGGAAAAAAAATTCGGAAAGAAGGATGTTCCTAATATGAACTGTCTAACAACCTCACATAAAATAATCACGAAATAATGTTCTAATGCTGAACTAACTAGTTTTTGAGAGGAAACATTGTTGGAACAATGTTGTAAGACATTGTCATCAGTCTTCAGTGCCTAGAAAAACAATTAGGATTTCAGTATTTGTTCTGGAAAAAAGATCGAAAAAACCGGATTCTGTTAGGTACAAGCTATTATATTTACTTTCGTTCCAAACGATTTTGGTATATAGAGTATTTCTTCAGAACGATTCGTAAAAAAAATTGGTAAACTGTATTGGGAGTGGTACTTTTCAACAGATATTATTTTTTGGGACAGACAGCTTTTGGCTTTTTACTTCTCCATTTAATACAAAAATATGGAAAACTCCCAAAGGAAGAAAGAAAGCAATCAATGAATCAATTATAGAATGAACTCTTCAGAAAGATGTAGAGATCATGCATAGAGGTTAAATTGGAAGAGAAAGCACTTAGTGTATACAATCAGACTAACATAAATGGTTCTAAAAGAAGAAAAAGTTGGATGAACGGTGTGAAGGAATATTTGAAACGGTTAAACTTATTGGACTGGTGAAGCAAAGATTCTGGAGAGCAATTATGGAAAAAATAATAAGGAAATGTTGAATGAAATGGAATTAATGTATATATATATAATCCATCTAAAAATGTTCCTGACGATTTTAGAAATGGTTTTATATTAAAATCTTCATGCTTTCAAGGCCTAAGGTTTGAAGACTTTTTCCTAATTTATATATGAACTGAGCTTTTTCGATGGTTATTGAATGATTGAAAGTAACTTACATTTTTAGTCTATTTTTAGAATATTACATAGTTTCCTCAATTATGGAATTGTCCGCGGTGGTAGTGCGCCTGACTCACGATCGGAAGGCCGGGGGTTCGATTCCCGCCTCGACTAGATATTTTTCTCGAGAGACTTTATCTGCTTGAAGCTGGGATGATTCTGCAACCGTGTCAGGAATCACACGTTAAAAAGGATGACCTCGTTAGTACTTAGCTCGCAAAAGTTTCTCAATTTCTGAGAATTGTCGTTCATATGGGGGCGACAGCTGATTAACGAAAAAACAGATTTTAAACAGATATGACATTCACAGTTCTATAACGCTCTCTCTGTATCTGTGAAGTAGGGAAAGTGAGTGTTAAGCCACAGCACTTAGGCCAAATGTGACCCATTGTACATCCTGCCGAAGAGTTGTCCTCCTAGGTCATCGTCCATCCTGTCCTTTCCAGGAAGGCGCACAGGTCACTGGGAGACATCTCCTTTATATCCGCAGGTGTAGGCCAAGACTCGCCGAACACACACTCTCTTATGGAGGTGCATAGAGGTGTGTCCACTAGCTCCATATGTGTTTTCTTAGTTGACAGTAGCCAGTCAGAAATCCTACTATTAGGCGTAGATTTTTCCTGGTCCTTGCCAGATATTTCTTCGACGCTACCTTCCCAGGGTCGCCCAAGGTGCCACTGGGTCCTAAAATTCTTAGTTCCACTCAAGAAATGAAACTGTTTGAATCGAGCATTAGGATTTGGAATTTGAAACACCAATTCTTCATCAAGGCGTGCAGGTCGCTTCAAATAAAGAATTAGAGAAATGGAACAGAAATCACTGAAAACAAAATACAATACAAAATTGAAATACCTCCAACTGAACCATCCCATCTTTTTAAGGATTGAGCATGGGTGTAACATTTGACTAGTTCCGCAATTGTCGAAGTCATCAGGCCGTAGGTGCCACTGGGTCCTAAAATTCTTAGTTCCATTCAAGAAATGAAACTGTTTGAATCGAGCATTAGGATTTGGAATTTGAAACACCAATTCTTCATCAAGGCGTGCAGGTCGCTTCAAATAAGAATTAGAGAAATGGAACAGGAATCACTGAAAACAAAATACAATACAAAATTGAAATACCTCCAACTGATATTGCGTAATTGATGTTAATTAATTCGCGCGGCAAATTATCTATATTCCAACTCCAACAATTTCTGTGAAACTTCGTTACCGCACTTTATGTAACAATTCTTATAAAAATACCTCTTATTTCATGGGATTTTTCCCTGTATGAGATTTTAATCAGAACAATATCAATCATCAGACATTTGTTGGTATGAAAGGACTACTAATATTCTATTCGGAACGGCGGCCATGATATATAAAAACAAATTAATTGATGATAACTGACCAATTAATGTCGATGTGGAGCACAATTTATTATTCTGATAAACATGAGATAACAGATGTTGGAAACTCATTCTGTAGGAATTCAGTTCTTATTGTCGTGAAGCAGTTGATGAAACTGAAATTCTCGCTGATACAGAATTCGAATTCCATCATTTCGGTACAGTACTTCTGGTGTACTAAAGTTTCAATAGTGTGCAAGAAATGCGTGTATTTTTATCTTCTAAGGTTCGAAAGGGTGCTGATTAGGAGTGAAATGTATAATTCAATGTTCTCGTGAAAGTACGAAACTGTTTTCCGTATATTTCAATGTTTATCTGAAAGTAGTTGTTTCGAAAATACTTTTTCTTTCGTGCGATTCAAACTTATATGAAAGTAGTTGTATCGAGAGGGCTTTTGTATCAGTTTGTATCAAAAGAAAGGAACTTCTGTGCATCTAAACATCTTTGTCTAGAGTTTATTTTGAACTTTTTGCTTCATTCCTTCCTTCCTTTGAAAGTTTTCCATATTTATTCTTGTAAAAAGATGGAGAATACGAACGCCCAGAAGTTTTTGTCTTCAATTCTGATGAATAAATATTATGCTTGGTACGTACAAATTGAACGTCTGACGCTAAAGGAATCTATTGAGAACTTTTTCCACACACCGGAACACACAGTCTTCAGACGCACATTTCCCCAACCAAGTTGGCATCATCAGGAGTTTACTAAGATGGATTCTTTAAGTATCAAACTGAATATTGTAAATACATTTAGATGGGCAGTGATAATTAATATGTCAGTTTATTAGTGCATTTCAATTCCTAATCGTTTTCTTAATGAGTACTAGTTGTGATACCTGATTTTTCCCTAATGGCTACTTGTAATTATAAAGTAACATCATTCAATAAGCTGTAAGCTGTACAGCTATGTGAGCGGTACATAAGAGATGAAGTACTTGTTCACAACCCACTTCATCCAAATTAGCATGCATATACTCCGGGAAGGTCTACTGATTTGGTCCTTCACCATGTGGTTGGCAGAATCGAGAGATAATTGGACAACAAAGAATTCACCCTGGGTATATTCATAGACATCGAGGGAGCGTTTGATAAAACCAACTTTCCAACAATTACCCAGCAACTACACTCCAGGAATGTACCCCTGGTAGTAGGAGAATGGATACTCCAGATGCTCTCTAATAGAGCAATAAATATTAATGTAGAAGTCATCATAGTGAAAGGATTGGTCATGAGGGGATGTCCACAGGCAGGGGTCTTGTCACACCTTCTGGACACCCTGATTGATCACCTTAATAAAAATGAATTATACTACACAATTGCATAAGCAGTTGACATAATTATCTTGCAGACCGGCAAATTCGTAAACACGCTGTGCGATAGGGCGCAGGATGGGCTCAAATTAATAGAAACATGGTGTAAGGAACACTCACTGTCGATCAATCCCAAGACGACTGAAATGGTCCTTTTCACCAGGAAAAAAAGTTTAACGGGCTTAAAACCTCCAGGCGAGTCTTGGCCTACACCTGCCGATATAAAGGAGATGTCTCCCAGCGACCTGTCCACCTTCCTGGAAAGGACAGGATGGACGATGACCTAGGAGGACAACTCCTCGGGAGGATGTACAATGGGTCACATGTGGCCTAAGTGCGTGGGCTTACACTCATCCTCCCTACTCTACAGATACGGAGAAGCTGTATGAAATGGGACCATCATTTTTTGATATTTTATATCAAGGACGATTGAGAGTCGGTTGTTATATACATTATCAAGCATTTTTCATTTATTTTGTGACCGTGAAGCATGCCGAGCGACACTAGACTTTTCAGGTCTACAAAACCGAATGTCTGAAACGAGTGTTTTGAAACAAGTTATTATGGCTTACCTGAAAAGGTTTTTGTAATGATTTATGGGTCAAAACTCGACCCTTTTACCAAATCGATGTTTTTTCTCCGGCAAATACACCTTGTGCTAAGTTTCACGTCTCTTTAATCCCATTGTCACTAAATGATCAGTATGGATATCTACCTAGTTCGATCAAGGATCATAGAATGAAGTAATAACATTTTCCATATGTTTTTCGTTACAAATTATCGTCTACAGTAACAATTTGTCCTCCGTTTCGATTGAAACTTTAATCCCACACAATCCCTAGTCCTTTCAGATATGCTATTGCCTTTGCGATAAAATTTTATCAATTAACAAATAAATATATAATCGGGTTGTGTGTGTTTGAATTCGTCTCAGACGTCAGTTTTGGTTTTATTTCGAAATGTAGCGTTAGTCGTGTAGTTTTCGACCGAAATGGCGATGAGGACAAATGAGATCATGACTCTGTCGCAAAGAATCGGAGGCAGTTTTCAAGAACTCAACCCTATAATCTTATGGAGCAAGCTGAGAAAAAAAGACAAAGACGAGGTTTGTTATGTACTTCATTAAAAGTTTCGATTTTACTTCTCCACTTTGCTGTTGAACAAATACCGAAACGCAGTTTTGGAACAGCAACAATGTACTTATATCAAAAGTAGAACATACGATGACATCAATTGTTAATTGAATAATCAGTTTCATTATAAATACTTGAAACAGATCGATTTTCAATTTTGACTCATAATATACGAGATGAACTACTGCCAAACTTTACCCAAAATATTCGGCAAAAATGCGCATTACTGTTTTTTATTTATTTATTCATGTTTTATTTATTTATTTTATTTATTATATATACGGACAAGCCCAATTCAGATATAAGTAGTACAGTGCTATGTAGTAGTTGATGCAATACAGTGGATTAAAGGTAAATTATAAGAATAATACAATTCCGAAGTAAGATAACAAGTAGATTATTTAAGAAAAAATCAAAATGTTCCACAATATGAACTAATATAATTCTTACAGGCAAGTAACACTAGACACAATACACAAGCATATAGTATTAGATGGCTAGGTGATTAATATGGTTTTTAAAGCGGGAAACTAATATATTAAAGATCTAAAGGTTATGGTTTTTAAAGCGGAAAACTTGATATATTAAATATTTGAAGGTTAATTAAAGAGTTAGCCAATCGAAGAATTCTGGGAATGAAGCTGTTATATGAATAATTAAATCTGTGAAAAGAAACGTAAAACGTTTGCACTTGTCTAGTTGAACGACTGGGGACATGTAAAGATATTTCGGAGAGAAGCTCGGGGCTGATACTCAGTCTGTTCATAATTTTGAATAGAAGTATTAAATCTCTATGTTTTCTGCGAGACTTGAGAAATATATCGCAGGAAATTGTGCTGTAAGGCCTCGAGTTTCACTTTTTGTATAACGTAATGAGGAGACCAAACTATGGAAAATCAAAGCAGTGATGTTGGTGAAATCACGAGTGGGTCTCTTTATAAAGTCAAGCATCTTCATAGATTTTTTAATTACAGCAGAAATGTGTGTTTTATAGATAAGTGTGGAGTCTAGGATCACACCTAGACCTTTGGTTTCAATAGCAGAATGTAAGGTCCGATTATTTATACTATATCCGAAAGTGATTGGGTGATGTGTTCGATGAAAGCGAAGAATTTGGCATTTTGATGCATTCAAAAACATACCACTTTGCTAACACCTGTTAGATAGGCACATCAATATCGTTTTGTAGACACAATATATCAGCTTCACTCCTAATTATTTTAAAACATTTTAAATTATCAGCAAATAGCAAAGCTTCGCTTTCATCATCATAGTCATCTTCATTTTCATCAGGTTGGAAGTTTTTTTCCCTTACCCTTTCAACTGAGATTCGTCAGGAGGACGAATGGTTCATAACGTAAGGTGTTTTGGTGGCGACATAAAGCTCAATGACCTCTATGCCGCTCTGGCCTTGTGTACCCCTTCCTGACTGGGGTATTTGATTAACAGATGTAGTGGGGCCTTCACTCAACCGAGCGACGGGGTCTTCCGAATCGAGTGGGGTCATCTATAGTGTAATCTACAGCTTCCCTAACTAATGGGTTATCATGAGTTTCGCTGACTCGAAAACTCTCTGATTTCTCGACTGAATGGACTGCCGTATAGTTAACAGCTTCAAATCTCTGCGGATGGCTTCATTCCGCACGAACCATGGAGCATTCACCAGCATCCTGAGAAGTTCGTTTTGCAACCTTTCCAAAATGGAGAGGTTTGACGGGGCGGTTTGTCCCCAAGCACTTGAAGCATACATGATGATAGGCTTGAACATCGTGTTGTATAGTAAAATCTGATTTTTGAAATTGAGTTTTGAATTTCTATTAACCAGAAAATAGAGTTTATCTATCCTCATCTGCACTTTGCTCTTGATATAATCAATGTGATTTGCCCAGGTGAGTCGGCGGTCTACCCAAAGACCTAGGTACTTGAATCGCGTTTGCCATTCGATCTCCCTGCCTGAAATCGTGACCCTTGTATCTGGAGAAACTTTACGTCTCCCCAAGTCTATAGCCTGAGTTTTTTCTGGATTCACTCGAATCTTCCAGTCGAGGTACCAGCGTTCGAGATCGTCCAATGCGCGTTGCATGTAGACGACCCCCAACGCCCGACCCATGGAAGAAGCGAGGAGAGCCATATCATCGGCGTAAAGGGAAACCTTCACGTGATCGAACCTCGGAAGGTCGCTCACGTAAAGGCTGTACAGTAGTGGATACAGCACAGCTCCCTGAGGCACTCCAGCTTCGATTTCCCTGACGGGAGATAAGATTCCGTCAACTCGGACCTGAAATGTTCTGCCTTTCAGAAAGGACCTAATCCACCGAACCAGACCCCGAGGCAGATCGAAATCGAGTATTTTGTGTAGCAGGCTTTCGTGCCAGACTCGGGCGAAGGCCTTCGAAATATCCAGGAGGACAAGATAGACTGTCTTCCTGTTGTTCAGCTCTGAGATGGAGTTTTCGACCAGTCTCAGTAGAGTGTTCGCTTTCATGAAAACAGCTGATTATATCGTTGATAAAAAGGTTAAACGACAGTGGTCCCAAATGTGAACCTCGTGTAACACCCGATTTAACTGCGATAGTATGAGAATAGTAATGATTAACTCTAACAATTTATGTTCTTTCCGTTATATAGCTCTTGAGCCACTGCAATATTTGCCCATCAACACCATATAAACAAATTTTATGGATCAATAGCTCATGATCAACTTTGTCAAAAGCTTTCGAGAAGTCAATGTACACAGAGTCAACTTGTAAACTCTTGAACAGAGCATCAAACAGAAAATCAACGTCAGTAATCCGATTTAGGATTTTTGTAGGATTCTGTAAGGTTTTTCGTTCAAATCCACATCGTATAACTCTAGTAACAGAAAGTATTGTGTTAGCTTGGCTTGATAACGAGAATTTGCTTCATTTCATTTCGTTCAAATGTTCAATAAGGGTTCACGTCAGATCTTCAGAGGAAAACACAGAAGCAATCCTTATTTGTTTGATAGGCATATGTCCGTGAGAAGGCCTGTTAGACATTGTAGTTCATCTCAACTGTAGTTCAACAACTTTTTGGTATCAACCTCCGAAGGATGAATAAACGCCTTGAAGTGAGTCAATCCTAGAAGATTCTGTCAGAAGTCCATAAATCTTCTTGCCATCCAGGTGATCAATCTTTGTTTGGCAAAACCTAAAACGATGCCAATGACAGTTTCTGGTCCGATGAAGCTGCTTGCAGCACCCTCCTCTACAAGGGAGTCAGTAGCCTTATTGCCTTCCAGGCCAGTATAGCCAGGAATCCAAACCAGAGACAGTCTATTGAGTCTTCCTATCGAGAAAAATCTTTTTGACAATTTTCTACTAATTTAGACGTTGCTCGGTGAGAGCCCAAAGCTTCCAATGTCGCTTGACTGTCAGAGAATATTTTTATTGACTTGTGTATGAGGTTGGATTCTTCCAATCTCTCCGCACACATAGCGTAATTACGAATTGAAATACAGTCCTATAGGTTTCTAGGCTGGTTGATATCTCTGTCCTAGGTCTGCAACTGAAAACATCTGTACCAGAACCTGAAGGTGTTTTCGATCCATCTGTGAACTAACAACTATCTGCTCTTAATATTTCCTTCTCCCGGAGGATTCAGTCCTCTCTACTCAGGAACAGTACTTTATAAGGCAATTCGTCGTTGACAGTTGGAGACATAAAGTCAGAGGTCATTTACAAAATGCGGTGACTTCCAGTGTCAACCAACAGTCTGTTGCGATCTGCATTGAATTGATTCGTGCAGTTGACAATGTGCACAAGTCTATATTCGGCCCATCTAGCCTCTCTATCCAGAAAAATGTGGAGAGTAGGTGAATCTAGAAGGATCTCAATGGCCGCTGACGGTGTGGTACTGATGGCACCACTGATGTCAGACAAACCTGTCTCTGTAAGCCAGAGAATTTCGCCTGAGCTATTTTCTGTAAAGCCTCCGGTCACCAGGCACTTGCACCATATGTGATAATTGGTCTGACAATCATCACATAAATCCAATGTTTTTTTTGTGACCTAAACCTCAAGTTTTACCACAAATCCTTCGACATGTTTCTAGGGACAGTCTGGGTTTGTGTAAAACTTTTTCCAAGTGAGCGTTCAAGGTCCAATTTTCTCCTTCTGTTGAAGAGGATCATCACAGTTTTGCTGAGATTGACAAACATCTGCTCCCTCAGGCACTAGCTCTATACAATTTTATGAGAATGGGTAAAATCATTTCCAGCCTGCTTTGAAGAAGAGCTGGCAATATACCATCCTCTTCAGAAGATTTGAAGGGCTGAAACGACTCGATAGCCCATTCAACTGCCGGTGCTGTGATAACCTTTTGACGATCTCCCAATCGTTCTTTTTTGGACGTTTAGCGCTCACAAAGATGTGAAGCCTGTAGTTATCAAGAGTTAGGTTTCCAAGAAAGTGGTTTTCTATCAAAATCTCTAACGTTTATTCACTAGAGGTCGTATATGTTCCATCGGGTCGTTTCAGCGACCCAATTTAAACAGTCGGCTCACTAAAGAGAATCTTGTGAATTCTTGTGCTGCAAGGCAAATCATAGATACTCTCACAGACCTTCCTCCAAGTTACAAACAGAAGTAGTTTACACTCTAACGTTCAGAAAATAATGTGAATTTTCGTTTTTTGAAAAATAAAATCATTCATTCGTTTACGTTAATGTAAAGTCATCTATGCTTGTAAAATGGCGGCACTTCAAGATTCTCCTCATTTTTGGTAATATAGTAAGTCACACAGGGTCATGTCTGACGAATATGGAGGCTGACGTCATATTCATAAACATTATGTTTCAGTGATCCCCGAGCAACTTCCTTTCCTTTTAACGCTATTCAAAACTATATTGAAACAACTCCTCCTGCCATGGCATAATTCATAAATCAGCGATTTCGTTGATTGTGATTCGGCAATCGTTCATAACCATTTCTTCCACTTTCTCCACCTATCAC